GTGTGTGTGTGTGTAGAGAGAGATCACACACAAACTGAGGACAGAGGGGCGTGTGTGTGTGTGTGTAGAGATCACATACAAACTGAGGACAGTCAGAGGGAGAGGCAAGAAAGCCAAGTAGGAGCTCTGAGCCTCTAATCACAGTGTGACCCTGGAAAAAAGCTAGAGAGAGCACTTTTGGGTCTGGTGTTGGATCACGACGTGTAGGGGTGGAGACTAAGGCTTTGTCTTCACTAGTACTTTTGTTGGCAAAGCTTACCCGTGTGGGCAGTGTTATGTCAGCGGGAGATGCTCTCCCGCCGACACAGCTACACCACTCATTGGGGGGCGGTTTGATTATGTCGAGAGGAGAGCTCTCTCCCACCAGCATAAAGCAGTTACTCAGGAGACCTTACAGCGGCACAGCTGCAGCGGTACATGTGTGTCATTGTAAGGTCCATAGTGTAGACATAGCCTAAGAAATTGCTCCTTTTGTTCTTGGTTCCTTCCATATTCAGAGACACAGGACTTTGCTCATTCCTTGTTAGTAAACAGACTACATCGAAGAAAAATACTGGACTCCATCAATTTCTACTTCCAGCTGGAACATCCCCAGGGCCCCAAACTTTTCACTAGCCACTGGAGTCAAAAAGGGGCAACACACTTCTCTTTTTCCACATGTAAATATTCAGGCTTTTTTTATCAGATCGTCTCTGTTTCTTTCTCGGAAATAATTTGTTTTGTAATTTTGTTGCAAAATCTGACTCTTTCCTTCTATTGCAGTCATTAGGTTGAATGTTTCTTTAAGGAAGAGATTTGACTCAATAGTGTTCACCTCCCATGTATTTTTTACTTACAGGATTTGGGCTCAGCAATGATGCAGAACTTCCTTTACGACATTTTATAATTTGTCTTAGTCATACAGAATGTGTCAATTCTATTTTGCATAAGAATGACAAAAATGTCTTTGTGTAGTTCAAGTTCTGATGCAGGGATATTTAATCCACCAGCATCAGCTGTAAAATTGTCCATATTAATTTTGGGTAAATGCATATTTAAAAAAATCTAATGGTCAGATGCTCACATTGTTGAAATTTCACAATTTTTGAAGGGGCTGTATTATGTGTGGAACTTATTATTAATGTTTTTATTTAATGTTTTGGAGTTCAGATTAATGCCTATATAGACTAGATGCAACATCTGTGTTACAATTAATTAATCTAATTTTAAAATGGGACTACGCAGTGTGTAAAATTAAGCATATGTGTAGATCTTTGCAGGATCAAGGCCTTATTTTGTCACTGAAGTACCATACACTGTTTTCTTCCTTCAGGTCTAACTGTATAGAATGGCACCTGGTGTAACAGCTGAGAAGAAGACTGAGGATGAACAGTCGTCAAAGTAAGAACCAAAACTAATTTCAATATCTAATTTGAATTTATTTAAACGGACCACTTTTAACTCCTCCCAAATAGCATGTTTTTCATTTCACAACCTAATTTTTTAAATAGTAGAACTCTACAGAACATATGTGCACTGTGGCCAGGTCTAAGCTCAAAACTTTCGCTGCTATTGTAATATCAGTTAGGCGTGTGATTTCTTTCCAATATTTTTGTCCTGGGAAAAGCATTAGTGAGGACTCAGTTATACTGGCAAAAAAGTAAGTTGGCAGGTGTAGTTTTATTTAGTTCAGACAACAGCACTCTTGTTGTATAATATAAGTTGTGTCTAAATTAGAAGGGTTTGCCAGAATAGCTATACCAGTATACTTATACTGAAAAAATCAAGTGTAGACTAGGCCTGTGCATGAAATCCTGGTTCAACTGAAGTCAATGGGAGCTTTACCACTGACTTGAATAGTGCCAGAATTTCATCCCATGTATTTTGGAATTTTGAACAAATATTTCAATCCACTTATCTCATTCTTTCTTTAGATTTATGTTGGTATAAGAAAATGAGTGTCAAAGATTAATGGTTAGCCCTCAGATATTTTTATTTACTTAGCTGGTACCTAAAATGTGGGAGGCACTTTACACAGATACAAGAGGAAAAGTTCTCTGCTCTGAAGAGCTTACTATGTAATGCTTCAATCCTGCAAAAACTTTACTATCATAAACTCATGGTACTACTTGTTGTAGTAAAGTTAATGACATACATAAGTGTTTGCAAGATTGGAGCCTGAGGCCCTAGGTGTAGGTGAGTGCAGCGGTCCATCTGTACACATCTGATTACAGGGGTGTGGCCCTATAAGGACAAAATGCAGACAGAGGGAGAGAGGGGAAACAATTTTAAAGCCAATCATGTAGACAATGCTGTTGGAACATGCCTTGTGAATTTGACAATATTTGTGGATTTTTATATTATATATATATATACACACATACAGGGCTGGCTCCAGGATTTTGGCCGCCCCAAGCAGCCAAAAAAAATAAAATAAATAAAATAAAAAAGCTGTGTCGCAATCTGCAGCAGCAATTCGGCGGGAGGTCCTTCACTCCGAGCGGGAGTGAGGGACCCCTCCACCGAATTGCTGCCGAATAGCTGGACGTGCCGCCCCCCTCCAGAGTGGCCGCCCCAAGCACCTGCTTGCCAGGCTGGTGCCTGGAGGCAGCCCTGTGTGTGTGTGTGTGTATATATATATATATATTAGGGCTGTTGATTAATCACAGTTAACTCATGCAAGTAACTCAAAAAAGTTAATCGTGATTAATCACAGTTTTAATCCCACTGTTAAACAATAGAATACCAATTGAAATGTATTAAATATTTTGGATGTTTTTCTAGATTTTCATATATATTGTATTCTGTGTTGTAATTGAAATCAAAGTGTATATTATTTATTACAAATATTTGCACTGTAAAAATTAATAAAAGAAATAGTATTTTTCAAAAATATTTAAATAAATTGAATTCTATTATTGTTTAACAGTGTGATTAATCATGTGATTTTTTTTTAAACGAGAGATTAATCAATTAACTTTTTTAATAGCTTGACAGCCCTAATATTAATCCTGTGATTAAAACAATTAATCGCAGGATTAATCACACTGTTAATAACAGAATGCCATTTATTTTTGGATATTTTCTACATTTTCAAATATATTGATTTCAGTTACAACACATGCCGAAGGGGCATACAAATGTTCAGCTTATCTGGCACGTAAATACCTTGCAATGCTGGCTACAAAAGTGCCATCTAAATGCCTGTTCTCACTTTCTGGTGACATTGAAAATAAGAAGAGAGCAACATTATCGCCTGCAAATGTAAACAAACTTGTTTGTCTCAGCGATTGTCTGAACAAGAAGTAGGACTGAGTGGACTTGTAGGCTCTGAAGATTTACATTGTTTTGTTTTTGAGTGCAGTTATGTAAAAAAAAATCTACATTTGTAAGTTGTACTTTCACGACAAAGAGCTTGCACTACAGTACTTGTATGAGGTGAATTGAAAAATATTTTTTTTGTTTATCATTTTTACAGTGCAAATATTTATAATAAAAAATAATATACACATTTTGATTTCAATTACAAGACAGAATACAATATATATGAAAATGTAGAAAACCATCCAAAATATTTAATACATTTCAACTGGTATTCTATTGTTTAACAGTGCTATTAAAACTGCAATTGATTGTGATTAATTTTTTTTAATCATGATTAATTTTTTTGAGATAATCATGTGAGTTAACTGCGATTCATCGACAGCCCTAATATATATAGATAGATAGATAGATAGATAGATATAGATATATACAGAAAGAGAGAGAGATTTTAGTGTATTACAGTTTACTTCACTGTGTCTTGGGTTGCACTTTTATCACAAAAGGGCTGGTATCCAAATAAAAAGAAAGTGTTTTCTGCATGTGCAAAAACGAACTGTTGAATGATTCTAAAACAGATCCCATTTGAATCTTGTAGTGACTCCAGCAAATATCACGATAGTCAAGTAATTGCTCTGTATCATTGGTACAAAGAGGTTAAGTCCCACATAATCTGGCAGAAATAGTTCTGAATGATACTGTGGAGTATTGGTCTGGGGACACTGATTGTCCAAAGCCACAATCTGCAGGGCCAGCTGGGCCTTTCTGATGACGTCGTAGCTGTTCATCGGCACTCTCTGTGGCATGGCTGCGACCTCATCATCCCTACACCAAGTTTGTTAAATAGGGGGAGGAATAAGTAGAGGAACAAAGGTAACCCAAGTACTCTCTGGGGACAGTTAGGACCAGTGAGATGTTGGGAGAGGGCATTGATAAAATGCCCAAAATGCCAATCTGCTTTTTCAGCCATTTTCTCTTGTTAAAGCCAACTGTTGCTTAATGAACATTTAGTTTTTCTAGAAGACAGTGAATTGATTTTGAAAGGGCGATTTGTCACATTGTGTGGGATGGGTCAGTTTAAAACAGTGGTGTAGAAGTAAAAAAAGAAGTAGGTAAACTAACCTAAACTAAACTCCATATTTCCCAAATGAGAAATGGGCAACTCTGTTTATCCTTGACTATACTACTGGTTAAAACTGACACTTTTCCTCTTTCAGCCCCTTCCCACAACCTCACAGATCTGCCTCTCTGTAGAGGATGGGATGGGGAGAAGGGGACTACATAGCCCAGGGAATGAATCTTAGAGAGAAATTGTCAGAAAAAAATTAAACTAATTAATTAAACTAAACACAGCCTACAGTGACTGAACATTTTTTTTCTGTCATTGTTGGAACACCACCTCCCTGAACGATGATAGCTACCTCAACAGAAGCATTGTTCTGTCCACATAGCTACATCTACACTGGATGTTATTTCGGCATAGCTACATTGGTCAGAGCTGTGGTTTTTTCATATCCCTGTCTGACGTAACTATGCTGATATAACTTTCAAGTGTAGACAAAGCCTAAGCTATTAGTTCATGATTCTGGGTGCAGAAGGCACTGGGCCTTTGGCCTCGTGTATCATAAATAGGGTTGCCAACCCTCCGGGATTGGCCTGGAGTTGCCAGGAATTAAAGATTAATCTTTAATTAAAGATTATGTCATGTGATGAAATCTCTAGGAATTCGTCCAACCAAAATTGGCAACCCTAATCACAAAGCACTTTGAGGTGTACACCAAGAGTCTACACCAGTTTCTGGCTAATAGTTAGAGTTTCCAGCCTGCTATGACTTCACTTTGTAAGCTGACTTTTGTAAAGTTTCCATGGCCTAATACAGAAGTTGCATATATAATTTTCCTCTATCCAGTCTGCATTCAACTTAATGTGAGGGTATCATAAAGTGTCATGGATTTGATTTTTCCCCCATTGCTCTTGGCATAGTCTAATTCCTCAGTCAGGGCTGGATGCGCCATCTCTTTTCACTAACTAGTCAGAGGAGCTGTTTCTAGACAAATGGTTTATCAGTCTTTATTTAAAAAAAAACAATGAAGAGTACTCATGGCACCTTAGAGGCTAGTCTCTCAGGTGCCACAAGGACTCCTCATTGTTTTTGCTGATACAGACTAACATGGCTACCACCCTGAACAACCTGACTTTATTTGTGTCTTTTCTTCTCTTTCTGTTCGTTTTTACACTTTTCTCTGTTTTCTCTTATCGCTTCTGTATTTCCCCCCCTACTGTGTTGTCTCTGATTTCCACTTCTTCCCCATTGTCTCCCTCATCTCCTCTTTCAGATCCCTGTTTGTGTTGTCACCAATCTCACCAGCTCCTACTTAGATTCTGTCATTGCTTTCCTCCCATTACGGTCTGGGTGCATGGCTCCAATGGATCCACTCTGCTTGGGATTTCCACTGGGACTGCCCTTGAAATCCTCAAGAAGGTGGGAGCGTAGGTCAAAATATCTTGATGTTCGTCCATCATTATTGATGAAGACCTCAACAACTCATTCTTTCGATGACCGGGCTCTGTGCATCCGAAGATGACTGATCAGTCTGATTCGGGCGTGGAACGTCCTGTCACACGTCGGGTAGACATGTAATGGCACTGTTGATTATGTACGAGCAGCTCTGGACTTGCGCAGCTCATGCTTTTTTTCAGCCTCAGCAATACGCCTCGCCTCAGAGGTATTACTGCCTGTGTGAATGAGGCTGTGCCATGCTGGACGGTTCAGTGCGAAGGTTTCCCACGTGGCAGCGTTGATCTCGAAAGACTTCAAAGAGGTCTTCAGTGGGTTCTTGAACCGCTTCTTTTGTCCTCCATGGGAGTGCTTTCCCTGAGTGAGTTCTCCGTAGAAGAGCTGTTTAGGAATGCATTCATCTGACATTCTCACGACATGTCCGGCCCACTTGGTCCGGGCTCTTATCAGCAATGTGTGAACTGACGGCAGACTGGCTCTAGTAAGGACATCAGTATCGGGCACTTTGTCCTGCCATCTGATTTTTAGAAGCTTTCGCAGACAGAAAATGTGGAAGTGATTGAGCCTTCGTGCATGACTCCGATAGACAGTCCACGTCTCACAGGTGTACAGCAGAGTTGAAAGCACCATTGCTCGGTAGACCTTCAGCTTCGTTGGTAGGCTGATCCCTCGACGTTCCCAAACGTTGGAGCGCAATCGGCCAAATGCAGAGCTGGCTTTAGCAATTCTGCAGTTTACTTCATCATCGATTGACGCTGCTCGGGAAAGGGTACTGCCCAGGTATGTGAAGTGGTCCACTGTCTGAAGTCTCTGTCCATTTACAGTGATGGACGGTTCTGAGTACCGAGCGTGGGGAGCTGGCTGGTGCATGACCTCAGTCTTCTTGATTTTAATGGTGAGACCGAAGTTGTTGCATGCAGTTGAAAACTTGTCCATACTGGCTTGCATTTCTGGCTCTGTACTATCATTCAGAGCACAATCATCGGCAAAGAGAAAGTCTCGAAGTACAGTTTCCTTCACCTTGGTGATGGCACGCAGTCACCTCAGATTGAATAGTTTCCCGTCAGTTCTCTACTTCAGGCCTACTCCTTCAGTGCAGTGTTGAAAGGCATCAGTCAAAGTGGCAGAGAATATCATGCTGAACAAAGTGGGTGCTAAAACACACCCTTGCTTGACGTTGGTGACTGGGAAGGCCTCAGATGTTTCACCGTCATCCAGGACACGAACCATCATACCGTGATGAAATTGACGTACCATTCGTATAAATCTGTCTGGACAGCCAAATTTCGACATGATCCTCCACAGGCCCTGGCGACTGACAGTCAAATGCTTTCATGACGTCCACAAAAGTTGTGTAGAGTTCATGATTCTGCTCTTGACATTTCTCCTGTAGCTGACGCACAGCGAAGATCATGTCAAAATATAATACAGCCTCAGACCATATGAAGTTTGCTGCAGTTTCTTCATGTGGCAGGAGGGTGTGGTGCACATTGTACCTGCCTGCCACAACCCCATCCTCACCTCCTCCCTAGCCTTGGCTCCACAACCAGTTTCAATACTTAATATTAAATTATTTTAGGCAGGGCTGGGAGCACTCCCTATTACTAAGATTGCCTAACACGAGACATTATACAATCCCATTTTCAGCTCCTTATAACTTTCAAACTTCAATCGTTAGGGCTGAAATTTTACCATGCAGGCTGGTAGGGAAAATACACTGGCTTGCAATGTTAACATTCTGTCAACTTCTTCTTTGAGAAGCTTTAGCACCTCCATGCTTTGGAGCAGGGACTTGAAATTTTGCATGGGGAGGTCTGGGTGTCAGGGATGTATCTTTTGATGATCCCCTAAAATCTGCTCAAATTTGAGCAAGTTGTCAGTCTTTGAAACTTCACAGTTCACATATGTTCAGTAGAGATGTTATAGAATTTTGCTGCTAAATTCTCCAAAGATTCTGTGCTCACTGAGCATGCTCCCTCCCAGGGCCGGCTCCAGAGTTTTTGCCGCCCCAAGTGGCAGGGAAGGAAAAAAAAAGCCATGATCGCGATCGGCGGCAGCTCTACTGCCGCCGCTTCATTCTTTGGCGGCAATTCAGCGGCAGGTCTTTCCCTCTGAGAGGGACTGAGGGACCCGCCGCTGAAGAGCCAGACGTGCCACCCCTTTCCGTTGGCCGCCCCAAGCACCTGCTTGCTGCTCTGGTGCCTGGAGCTGGCCCTGCTCCCTCCCCTCACAGCTCATACATGTGTCTGGACTTGGCATGCGCCATCCCCACATGGCTGGGCACCTGAATTGAAAGCAGGGATCCTGTATCTCTTATGCTTTCAATGACTCACCACCCCCCTATCAGGTGTTCAGGCAGTGTGAAGGGGGAAGCCACATGACTTGAATGCAGAGAGGTTGAGAGCAGAATCGGGGGGCACTGGGAGGGGAAGGAGTAGATTGGATCAAGGAGCTTGGGGAGACTGATAATGGCTGGGCGGGGAGATGGGGACTGGTTGAACTCAGAGACTGGAGTGGGAACTAGTGACAGAAACAGGGTGGGTTGGGGGAAGCAGGTCTGAAGGGGAGGGAGGAGACTGGAACTGGCTGGACAAGGACCCTGAGACTGGGAACCAGTGGGTGGGGGAATGGGGACGGATGGGAGATAGGTCTGATGAGGAGCTGGGGTGTAAAGGCAGAACTGGGACTGGCTGGGTAAAAAGACTGGAGAGAAAGAGTTGAGGTCGGGGGAACTGGAACTGGCTGGACAAGGAGCCTGGGACTGAGACTTGGACAGGGAGCTCTGAGGGAGAGACTAGGATTGCCTGGCCAAGAAGAATGGGACTGGGACAAAGAGCCAGGGGTGGAGAGGACTGAAGAGGAACAGGTTGGAGGGGTCAGACTTGGATTAGGGTGGCGGGACAGAGAGAAGTGTCTGTGACCGTTAAAGGGAACATTCCTCTCCAGAGTGTGGAATGGAACTCAAGATTCCAGAGTCTCACTATTCTTCTGCTGTCAGCAAATATCTGTGAAACCCACTGGAAAGATGCGTGTCTCATCTGACTTAGTGCTGGTCCATATAGAAGATGACAACCTACTATTATCATTACTTTTAAGAGGCATGTGTCTGTGTGGTGAATCTAAGAGTTACACTTTGCTGATCAACCACGTGGGTGTCACCATGATGTCACATGATGAAATTTGTTTTTTGCAGTTTGCTTTTTTAAAAAACTAGGAAATTGCACACACATAAACGGCATTAAAAGAACATTAGTAAGGTCGTAAAGTCAAACACTCAAAAGTTAGAAAATGCCAAAATTAAGGTTGTCTCTACAACCCTTCATTTGGCCCCCCATGTCTGTATTACTCTTGGGGGAATTCTGCACCAAAAAATATAAAAATTGAGCACAGTATTTTAAAATTCTGCAAAATTCTGAATATTTTCTCTCTCAAAACAACAATATAATCATGCCAGTTTCAATAATTTTGGTAATTTATTTCAAAATACCTGTCAGCAAGTATATCTGTAACAATACAGACAAAAAAAAAAGATTCTGGTAAAATTTTTTTTTTTTTTTTTTTTTTTTTACTAAATAGGCCTTACTAGGCATATTAATACAGAATGTTGAGTAATTCATTTAAATTACAATACAGAACTGTATTTCCTGCACCTGCCAGAAGCAATGCAAAGGCTTGGGGGAGTCAGTGGTAATGGCCGAGCTGAGGGAGAGGGAAGGAGCCTGGGAGTGAATCTGGAAGGCTGTTGGGTGTAGGTGGGAGAAGTATGGAACGGGTGCTTTTTTGGGGGGAGCGGCAGGATTGTTAGGGAGTTGGGAAGCCTCCCCCATGCAGACCTTGACTGACCCCAAGTCTCTCCCATTCAGTCAGGCACATCTGCCTTTGCGCTCCCTATCCCTATGGGTTTCTGCAGCCTCCTCCCCCATCCCCCCATGTGTCCCTGCAGTCCCCGTCCCATGTGGCCTTAAACCCCCACTTCCATTCAGCCCCTGCCTTAACATTGTCACCCCACTAGCTCCTGAGCCTGTACCCCAATCCCCCCACTAAACATTCTGAACCCTCACAGTGTATGACCCCCCAGCAGCCCCATGTGCCCCACTCTGTCTGTCCTAACCTGGCTCTGAAGGCAGGGCGCTGTGATGAACTTCTCCTGGGGGAATTCTGTGGCACTGCGCATGCACAGAATTTTTTCCCCACAGAAAATACATTCTGTCACAGTGCTGCAGTTCTGCCTTTTGCCCGCCAGAGGCCGCTGTGGCACCAGAACTGCATTCATGATGCTGGCTGTTCTGGTGCCACAGCGGCCTTTGGTGGGTAAAAGGTGGAACTACAACACTTCTTGGGCAGAATGTATTTTCTACGAGAGAAAAAAAAATTGTGCCAGTCATGAACTCTGCACATGCACAGTGGCACAGAATTCCCCTCTGGAGTAGTGTATGCATGATGATGCAGTCTTTAACTGCATAATCATATAGTGTTTTTTCCACAGGAGGATTGCTGCCTCATTTAATTCAATGCACAGATTGGACCTGCTCTGGGGCTGAATCAGGGTTGTGTAGTTAAGGAGGCTGTTGTCTGTAGGACCCCTGCCTCATTTAGTGAAGAAGTTGGAAGGTGTGAGGTGAATGAGTAAGGGGGTTGTAGAAAGACACAGGATGGTCTCATGTTAAGGTTTCTATGCCACAAAGTTCCAGTGCTATGGCAGGCAAGTCACTTAAACTAAACTTTTCATAGATGGTCATTAATTGTGTGTTCTTCATTTTCTGGGTGCCCATTTTGAGATGCTGAGGTCTGATTTGCAGAAATGCTGAGTGCTTACAGATACCTTGAACAAGGTTTGAATATTGTGCAGTAAATAAGGCCTGGGACCACATATTGAACAACGAGGATAAAACAAAATATTGAATAGCTGCTCGTTTAATGAGCATAGTGCATCCTGTACACTGAATGAGGCAGAGGGTCTACTTGAAAAAAACAGTATGTGATCATGTCATTAAAGACTGTCTCATAATGCATACACACAAGGAGTTGAATTAAAGGTGCACAGGAAACCTTAATTCTGACTTTTTAGCACTAGACTTTTACAACCTTAATAATGTTCTTTTAACATAGTTTTTTGGAGTTTATATATATTTTCCACTTCCATGACAGAGATAACTTAATTCATCTCTCCAACCCTCACCTTGAGAAAATGAAAGATGATATCCTGTACCATTTTGCTCTTGGGACTGGCACCCATGATTTTCCTGCCTTGTTTGGAGATGTAAAGGTAAGAACCTTGATTTCATTCTGGAAGTTTAAACATGTCAGCAGACTGTGCTACTCCCACTAAAATGTAATTGTGTGCAGGATGAGATTAAAGACAGCAGCATGAATCAGTTTGAGAAATGCATGGAAAGAAGGTAAGACCTTCTCAGTGGGAACGCTGGCATCATCATACAATTTTTAGGTTTACCAGAGCTGCCAGGTCCTTTTGTGAATATTGGGCCAACGTTTGCAGTCCCTACTCAGGCTTCAGTCAGGCAAATCTCCCTTGTGAGGCCTTACCATGTTCCCACTGACGTCAATATCAAACTTTCACTCATTTCAATGGGAGCAGGTTCAAGGTCTTAGCATCCTAGTTGAAGTTTTATATGGGTAAGGACTGAGTGGGTACTGCAGACTTTGGCCCATATTGCATTTACTGAGTACACTAGCATTTTGTCCTGCTTTTGCATCTACGGTGGTAGCTTCTCGTACAAGGTTTATATGAGATGAGTTGCCCAATCCACTAAAAACAAAAGCCCCATACCTGAAATAACACTCCTGAGGTGACAGAAAGTGCCTCATTTGCAAGCCCTATTTTTAAGGTATATTTTATACATTAACCATCAGAGCTAAATTTGTCAGAGATAACATTAACTGCCTTTCTTTTTTAGGACACAATGCTATTAGCAAAGGTGGTCAACATGTGACCCTTCAGGGTAATCCACCGATAGACTGCAAGAGAGTGTTTACATTGACTGTCTGCACGCATGGCAGCCCGTAGCTCCCAGTGGCCGTGGTTCACCGTTCTTAGCCAATGGGGGCTGCAGAAAGTGGGGGGGGGTGGAGCGGCGCGCTGGCCGCACCCTTCCCC